CTAGAAACCTGTCCAGCGTGATCCACTTGTCACACAGTGGACACTTGCCTCACTGGGAGATACTGTATGGCTACTCTATTTTGATGGATCCCCAGCAGAGTAAATACGGAAAAGGAACTACTTTTGGGGACTTGGCTTTGTAACTTGGTTTGGAAGTGGGTCATCAGCTTAGCAAAGTGAACACAACATCACAGAATAAGGCCACAGCAACTTCTGGAGTCTCCAGGAAGCAAAACCATGCGCAGACACATTGTGAGAGTGTACTTAATATTCTGCGTGACCGGCTAGGAACCTCCCTTGGCCAACCCGGTGAGCTGTCTCATGTTGGTTTGGCAGGCGACCTCGGTGGAGCATGTGATGTATGCACTCGGCTCCATGCAATCTCCCCCTGCTGTATTCCCAACCAGCTGCATCTTTTTCTGCAATCTTGCCAGAGAGAATGTGTCTCGAGTCATTGTTGATTACTCTGTTAATCCACACTGTGGAGTAAACAGAAGCGAGTCTGACAGGGCCTGGTTCCCGTCTCAGCATACTTCCTCCCTGTAGTCTAAAGGACAGGGGTGAGACCGTGTCCCTGCTGCAGAGAAGCCAGGTAGATGCCTTCCTTGTTTTCAGCCCATGATAGTTCAGCTTCCTGATTTCTTCCTGGGGAAGCTGAGGGTGGGGGTCAGAAGGGATATTTGAGTCGAGTATTTCCCCCAAAGAAGCCTAGAGATTTAAACCCCACTTTCTATTTTTAAGTATTACAGGCTGTGTTTGAAAATGATCAAAGTTAATCCACATCAAGAGCTGCTCTCTCTTACTTCACTGGCCCCTCCCCAGTTCTCTGCCCCAGAGGCTACTGACATCAGTCCCTTCCTTGGCCTTTCTGTGTCTAGGCAGAGGAGAGAAGCTTTGAGCTTTGAACGGCATTTTTATACGTTCAGCTTGAGTGGTTCATAAAATGCCTTTTCCAAATCACTCTCCATGGCAACATAGCTCGGGAACACACACACACGGACAGACATATACATGTCCACACGCCCGTCGCTCTTTCAAGCACAAAATGGAGGGGAAATGATGCAACCGAGGAGGGAGGGAGTAGAAGGCATGCTGCAGTCAACCGCAGTGGTTAGAGGCTTCTCGATGGTTCCAGACAGCTTTTTATACAGAAATAGCTCAGTGAGCACAGCCCAGCCTACTCACACTGCAGAACGGATCCCAGCGACCTGCCTTTGTGCGACTTCCCTAGAGCTCAGGTCTAAACACATCCCGGCTTGGCAGGGCTATGTGCAGCTACGTTAGCACACAGACAAACACCTCAGCTCCCTGGCTCGCCTCATTCTTTCTCTTCAGACCCAGCAGTTTTCTTACAGTTTACACCTGTTTTCCCCAGCCTCAAAGCCACCCAGAAGTGGAAAGCCCTTCAAATTTTTAGTCAGGAGGTTGAGTAGACCCAATTCTCACACTCTGAAAAGGAAAAGTAAATACAGAGTTCTCTCTCTCTCTCTCTCTCTCTCTCTCTCTCTCTCTCTCTCTCTCTCTCTCTCTGCATTCGACAAAACTAAATTTAGAAAAAGCCATTTTGAAACCAAGCAATGAGTAGAAGTGGTCTCAATTAGAAGGTATATTTGTCATCAGACCAGAGTGGCTGGATAGGAATGACAGAGTCACTTCATAAGTTGTGCTAGAAATTTCCCATAGCTCAAGCATGAGTGAGGGCATGTAGACACTTTTACCTAACCACTGACATTAGAATAGACAAAGATGTATTGTGCTGGGATTGAATCCACGGCCTTGTGTGTTCTAGGCACGTGCTCCTCTCTCTGCCCCGATACAGAATAAAAAGCACTACCTTCTAGTAAAGGGCCCAGGAAATAGCTCAGCTGGTAAACTGCTTGCCATCCAAGCATAAGGACCTGAGTTCAGTCCCCAGAACCCACATTTAAATGCCACGTGTGGTAGCATGTGCTGGGGAAGAAGAGACTCGTGAATCCCTAGGGCTCAATGGCCAGCTGGCAGAGCCTACTTGCTGAGTTCTAGGCTGTGAGAGGTCCTGCCTCGTAAAAACAAGGTGGATGAGCCTAAGGAACTATGGCCAAGGATGCCCTCTGGTCACCATGTACACATGTGCATATGTGCAACTTCACAGACAACTGTAGAAGTCCAAGGAAAAAGTCCCTCACTGAAAGCTACATTCCAGCCGGCAATGGTGGCCCTCGCCTTTAATCCCAGCATTCCAGGGGCAGAGGCAGGCAAATCTCTGAGTTCAAGGACAGCCTGGTCAACAAAGCAAGTTCCGGGACAGGCAAGGCTACACAAAGAAACCCTGTCTCGAACCCCCTACCCTCAATGCACATAAAAAGAAAGCAAGCTAAGTTTTAATATTGGAGCCATATGGAAACAACAGAAAAAGGATGCTTTCATCCTACAACAGACACTCTTACTCCTGAGAAAAGAAAATAGTTATTTGTGTATATGCTTTAGAATGCATAAGAAAGATGCATTTCTAAGAAAAAATTGCATTATCTTCTGGCTAGTGCCTGGAGAGCCTTCATTTGTTGAGAAACACCTAAATTCTACCATAACATAAAAGTATAATATGCAAGTTTTTCTGAAAAGCACATCATCTGTAATGCTCATTCCCCAGCACTTAGGTGAGAGCAAGGCCTTAGGTCCTCACTAGGCAGGACTTGGGATGATTTCCTTTAGTCCCTGCAGTGGCTGCTCCCCAGAGCCCTTGCCTCTGTGTTTTCATCTGAGCTCTGGTGGGTGCCTTTCCTTCAGTAACCAGTAGGATGGGGCAGAAGTGACGCCGGAAGCTGTAGAGCGCCTGCTTCAGCCTCTTGGGGTACTTGTTCTGAAGAAAGTCAACCGCACAGTCAAAAACGAAAGCAGGGGCAGAGGGATGGCTGGGTCAGCAAGAGCTTGGTGCACAAGTAGAAAGATCCGAGTTCCATCTGAGAACCCACATAAACTGGATGCACACACCCCTAACCCTAGTGCTGGTGAGGCAGAGACAGGGCTCATGGAGCCGGCAGCCAGCCCCTCTAGCCAAGGAGAGACCCTGCCTCAAAAACCAAGGTGGAAAGAAATAAAGGAGGATACACAATATTGATCTTTGGTCTGTATGTGCGCGCGCACACACACACATACACACACACACATATACACACACATACACACATACACACACACATACACACATATACACACACATACACACATATACACACACATATATACACACATACACACATATACACACACATACACACATATACACACACACATACACACACATATATACACACATACACACACATACACACATATACACACACATATATACACACACATACACACACATACACACACATATATACACACATACACACACATACACACATATACACACACATACACACACATATATACACACATACACACACATACACACATATACACACACACACACACATACACACACACATACACACACA